ACATTTTTGAAATAGGTTGTGTGATATTGGAAGTGTTTTTCTCAATCCTCTTCTCCTTGTTCCACCGGCTGTGCGGCAGATGAAAGCGTACACTCTTTGTGTATGCTCGTTGTCGAGTGCATTGTGCAAATAGCTTTAAAAGTGTCGGTGATCGCGTGACTCGGGTAACCATCCGGGTTTTGTCGTATTCGATTAGTGTCAGCTGTCACGTTAAGAAATCGCGTAAATTGAGTGCTTGGTACCAAGGGATTTCTTACTCGTCAAGTGCATAATGTGGTAACTTGAGCCAAACTGACAGCCAATTTTCCTTTTAAGCTGGGGTAAAAATTTTCCACGACTTTCTCAAGTCCCAGTACTCAGAGGAGAACTTATTGTTTTGGCTCGCAGTGGAGAAACTTAAAAAGGAAACAGATCAGGCGACTTTTAAAGAACTTGCGCAGTCGATTTACCGGGATTACCTTTCAGCGGAGTCTCCAAAAGAGGTGGGCAAAATAAAATGTGTTTTATGTACATTTAATTCCAAATGCCCTGAAGTCCGTGAAAAGTTTTATGTCGGATTTTGTGTAAGTGATCTTTTCAAAAGATGAGAAGTTCGCGGATTTGAGGCTGCTAAAAACAATGAATTTTTTGCTGGATTTAGGTACGTTTTTAATTGGCTTAATTGGGCACTCAAGCAGCTTAGGGGTAAGGGGCACTAAAAATGTCGAAGAAGATGTGGATTTTACCGTTAGATGATGATTTTAAAGGAATGCCTGTAGAACTTCGATACGTAGCAGTCATTTTGAGTCCCTTAAAGAAAAGCTTTGTCTAAACTCGTTTTTGCTGCAGGGCTAGACATGTGGGGAAAGCGTAAGCTTCATTTTTCATGTAAACTCAACATGAATGCCGAGTGATGAAGGTCTATTTTATGTGTTACAGTTTGTCAGTGTTTGAAAAAAATAATCTGAAACCCATTAAAGGAATGGCAAAAAATTGATGGTTTCTTCAATCCGTCCTTCGTTTTAAAGGAAAACTCTAGTAGTAAGACAGATTGTTTCGGGGTTGGTCATTTGTCACATGATCACGTATCACAGACAAACACACCATGTGATAGCGGCAGCAGCGTCGTAGTGCCGCCAAATTGACAAATAGCAAATACTGATAGCTGATCAGTCCAAGGCACCTCTTCCAAAGCACATTCTTGTATCGGTGAGATGATAGGGCAAACATAGTCGTATGACTCGTTGCATCTTAATAAACAGAAAGTATCGAGTTTAATTATTAAATACCTGGCCTGCGATTGGGCAGGGTGAAGCAAATCCTTTATTCTGATTAATTACCTGAGCGGATAACATGAGCCTACCCTAACACAGCGGCCAAACGTCAGACATGCGCAAGGTGGTCAATGTTGGCTGGCCGCGCGCCGATTTCCCGCGCAAAATAATAGAGAAAAAACATGAGAGACAACCACTGTCACGCATGTGGGCAAGGTTTTTCATCACTCCTATTACACATTTTAAGAAAACTTGGTTCTGAAAGCATGCCATTTGCCACCTGCGTTTTCTTTCCTAGACAAAGCTGATGTCTAGTGACGAAGATGTAGGTCATGTTATGCTCTCATTTGCCATAATTTTACCCACCCCACCCGTTAATTTTTTTATTTCACCTCCTATAGGTCAGTATCGACCACAAGACTCGCCAGCATATCGAAGAAGTCTTGGAGGAACCTGACCAAACGGTGTATGACAATGCGCAACGTCACGTCTATTACGTCATGTATCAGGACTGTTACCCAAGATTCATTGTGTCCAACGTCTTTAAAGCGCTTCTCATAAGTAATGACTGATCACTTGATCTAAGACATTAAGTTACTTTCTAGACTAGATTCGACAGAAAATGACATGGAGTTAGATTAATATAAAGCTAGAGATTCTTTCTTCACCGTTTTCTCTGTGGTTATGTCTGCAAAATTCCAAGAAAATGAAGTAAAATTTTTTATGCAACTTTACAATCGACGAGACCATGGCCTTGTCGATCATGTACATAGAAGAATAAACAATAGCTTCGCAAGAATTGCTAAATAAGTAAATTGAAAGATGCTTCTGTTGAGAGCAAGATCCAATGATTTTTAAGGGAGTTAAACGTTTATCGTGCTTGCACACCATATAGATATAGATTTAAATATGCGTTTTAAGGGGAGCGTTTGAGAGGCGCAAACCCAGAACCGATCGCACTACTATCCTCTGCTTCTCACATTCCCTACGTGTTTCTCATGTCTATTTGCGTTAATTGGCATGTTTATCTGCGATTCCCGTAACTTTCTATCGGTTTTTCTGTTTTATTAAATCTCACCTTTAAAGTGTGTTCCCTAATTTAATGATATTTTCAGGAGAGCTCCGATTAAAGTACACGGTAAAAATGTAATTATAATTAAAAAATAACAATGTTTCTTATTCTGAATGCTTTTGTTGTTTTTTTTTTCATTCAGTTTGGTTCTCAGCTTTTTTCTTTCTATAGGAATGAAAAGCCTGAGGTATTCTTTCCTTCCACCGTCTAGTCTTGTCTCGAAATGTTTTCTCGTTTTGACAACTGGAGCAAGCCTGATCTGGGAAAAAAGATTTCCAGATATTTGCTTTTTTCAGTAGATACTGCGGCCACAAGCGCGTCAAAAGAAGTGCGCGTCTGGCTATGGCAGTAATTGAAACAAAGGTATTATTGAAGTCAGCTTCATGTTCAAGTTATCGATAGTGGCAGATGAGAGTATGGCTACCACATACTTTTAAATTATTATAACTGCGCTATCATATGCGTCGCAATAGAGCACATTTAAATTGAGAATCATAGGACCAAAACCAAAGGAATCACAATCAGAAGAAAGGAGAATATCACAAGAAGCTACCGAAAACTCACTGTAACAACAAACAAGCTGTCTGAAGCGCGGAAAATCGCGAGTGACCAAGTCGTGGTTTAGTCTTTGTTATTATTGGTTGAGGAAGTCGCACGAGTTTTCTAAACCAATCACAATGAAGGAATGTATAGAGACGAAAGGATATTGAAAGAAAATGCGAACATTCAAAGTAGTTTAGAATGCTAAATTAACGTGCGTAAGTACTGTTATGCAATAAAAAATATGCCATCCATCTATCCTTCATGGAAGACATTGATAAGAAAGCAGCCTTTCACCAGCTGCGTCTCTCGCCCGTGGGGCACCAGGTCGACAGAGAGATATTACCGGCGTATTTAATTTGCTGACTTCAAGACGAAGTTGTGACGTGCGTGGGGAATAACCATCCTGACAGGCATCTGGTGCCTATGATGATATTTGTTTCTTTCCAGATCTTTACTATTCCACGGCTTATCATTTCAGTATTGGTTTGTTGAGGATGTGCTCTAGTTCGCGTTCAGTATTTCGGCTATTTCATGTATTCTGTTATTCTTTGTTCACGATGTTTCACGCCCGATCGGTAGTAAGAGGTTGTAATAACTTTAAGTGTCAGCATGTTATTTATATCCGCACTTCGTAATCACAAGGCATACGCGTGACGCTTGTGCCTAGAGATTTGGGCGCACACCCGTGGGTTGACCAATATGTTCACAAGAAAAATCTAATTTCAGTTTACATGATCTTCATACATTTGACTATGCATCAATAGCGAGGGTAGTTAGTTTAACAGCTAATGGTTAGTGACAATACTAAGCAAAAACTTTGAAACATATTAACCACCAGGCAGGCAAATTCCATTTGGTCCAATTACATAGAAGATATTTTCAACCTTGCCAAGGTCCACAAAATTGGCTCTTGTTGGAAGTTTATACGCCCCTCTCAAGGCACATGTACATAGGACTGGCAACAAAAAGAATAGTCATTGTATCACTCATTCATGTAAACGGTTTGGTTCCATAATGTTTCCGTCATTATTTGTTATTATTGTGTTTTAATATTTCATTTCTGTTACCGATTTGAAGAAGATCTCATATATATATATATATATATATATATATATATATATATATATATATATTATATGTATATTTTAAAAAAAGCGACAAAACTTTTGAGTCTGTAAAACATGTTTCGACAGAAACTTCTGTCATCTTCAGTTAATTACCGTACAAAGCGTTGAAAGTTGAATTATATAGTAAGTAGAACAATGCTAATTAGGATGAATAGTGACAACAAGAAAAAAGGTAAAGCATGAAATTGTGAGAGTTAAAAAGATAGTTTTAGATTTACATGGTGTAATTGCTGATTCAAAGATGGTTGTTCTCTTTGAATATGAATAGCCTCTTTTATCTTAAGCTGAAAGCTGGTGGAGGTGTGATCTAAAACATGGAAGTTATCTGTAGAACACAAAGCGCGACAATGTGGAGAATCTTTCAGATGCCTGAAAATGTGAGAGGCCCTGTCACTGACTAAGTGCTCTCTAACAGCTGTGGAAAAACGCCGGCAGGTTTCACCGACGTAACAGGCATTACAGCCAGCGCATACAAACTTATAAACCACACGTGAACGGAGCCCGTCAGGGACAGGGTCTTTCACACCAAACAAGTTACCGATTTTGAAGGAAGAGAAAACCAGTTTGATATCCAGGTCATTAATTGAAGAAAAATGCTCATCTCGACAACCGGGTGTATGAAAACATCTACCCCAAAGGCTCCCAACCAGCAAGAATTTACGGCCTTCCTAAAATGCATAAGGATAGTGAAGCTAACTCTACACCGCCATTTCGCCCCATCGTATCTTCTATAGGAACACACAATTACAACCTGGCCAAGTACCTATGTCGTCTTTTAACACCTCACATTCCAACTGATTACTGTGCCACTGACACTTTTACTTTAACATACATACATATATAGTATGATTGTATCAAGTCACACCATTCAGAAAGAAACAAGTGTTTCATACAAGAGAGCCCTAGAATTTCAGTTAATGGATCAAAAAAAAAATTAAATTAACAAAAAAAGTATTGCATTTAAAAATAAAGCAAGACACTTTGAAGTCAAGAACTAACAATCTATTAAAATTCAGAAACTTTATTTTAAATTTTCATTACAAACACTTTTCCCCATGATAAACTTTTCTGTCATGCATAGAGAAAACCTAATATATTAAAGTTGAATTACAAGTACGATTCTACAGTCTGCATTGTGGTTAAAAAGCATCAAAACCCACCTACATGTATAAATCTAATGATTATCCAGTATCATGAGATAAATGCTTCCCATGAACCATGGTTTGAGCTGTAAGTTTCAATTTCATAAATGAAAGCTTGTGTAAGTACTATAGCATAAGCTCCAGTTCACTTTTTTTATGGCAAATCTCTCCCATAGTGCCTTGTGCCTGCTTGCAGGCCACAATGGCATAGTAAAATTAAAAAAAAATTAATGAAATCTCTTTGAGGGTAAAAAAAAAACAGAAAAAGCTAAACCCACAAGAAACACCGCGTCAGGAGCTTAGTGGACCACACAGGAAGGGGCAAGCATTCCTAACACTGTGCCACTTCCTCAATCATTATTCTAATAATATTAAGAGTAACTGACTCTTTTCAAAAGTGAATTTTCAACATTTTTAGCTTTAGAAATCCTGCTCTAAAGATTGAGTTCATTTACAACTCAGCCTTAAAGTAATCTTTTACAGGCACCATAGTGGCGCCCCCATAGAAATCAACAAGCCACACGTCTGTGATTACAAGCTTCAGTGTTTGCCAACCTGGAAGAAAAATATTCAGTTCAAGAAACAGATTCTATTGCTGTGCATTTGTTCAGTACAAGATTACAGATGATGTCAAAATGTGGTAAAAATAAAAAAGTGGGACCCATATATATTTGGGAACTCACCATGATCTTTAGGCCATGTTTTCATCACAGGATGTCTAGCAAAGATGGCATTTAGTGCAAACTTTTCTTCCTCAGGACCAACATGGACAAGCTGCAATGATTTCAAAATCTGTCTCAGGTTTGAATTGGATGAAACATTTTGGACACCTTTTGTCTTATAGCCACCATCCTGGATACCTTTGGAAATAGCTTGCTACCTCTGACTGAAAAACTGATCAGAAACTCTCTCTTATTGCAGATATATTTTTCCTTGTAATTCAGTTCCCTGTGATTCAGTTCAGAGAATTTGGTGTTTTATCAAGACAACACCATTTTCCTGATAGATAAGTTTATTCTTATCACCTCTTCCCTGGATAATATGCTTAAATTTTGAGGAGAACTTATGCATTGATTACCAGTACTGGATGTAAAAGAAATGACAGACTACCTTTCCAATAAGAGTCACTCTGGAGCAAAGAGGATCTTCTGGATCCCATTTATGAACTTTGCAGTAATCACTCTGTGCCTCTGACAGTGCCAAGGTGGATAGGTTGTTGGCCTCAATGTTTTTCACTATCGGGTCAAACTTTGCCACATAGAAGTATGGTACCCCTGTGCTGTTAGTGACAGTGCCATCACTAAAGGAAATTGCCATTCCAAAAGGTACTCCAACCATTGAAACAGAAATGGTTGATATTGATCCCCAGTCACTGTTGTGCACAATGTACCTTGCTACATATCAGGAAATGGAGAAAAATATTAAAAAAACTTAACAATAAAACGTTACTCTACTTATAGCTCTACTTTGACTAATTTTGACAAAATAACTGGGTTTGTTTAGCTTTCATGAAAACATTAGGCAGAGCAACTGTACCTTTTAAACTGTTGCCTTTTAAATCTAAATGGCCACCAAGAAACCAAAAGCATTCAATTTACAGTAACTCACACAGAGAAGCAGCAGTAGGAAATAAATTTTCCACCCAAGCTGATGAGGAGCACATCATGTTGATGAAAAACTTAATTTAGAACAAGGGCATTCAAGGTTCAATTTAGAGACTTCAAGTAGTCTGATTGCTGTTGACTTAAATATTTACCTGTTTTTGCCTTTTCAAATCTTGAAGGTGGATCATATGAGGATTCAGGTAAAGGTGGAGGTTTAAACATAGGAAACATCTTGGCATGACGATGTTCTTCTCTCATCCTCATGTCATGCATGAGTCTGTCATCAAAGCGTTCTCCAGGCCTAATTTGTCTGACACGTGCTTTGTACCCTGAAAGAATATAAATAACTTCTAAAATACCGTAACCCCAATTTTAATGTCCCAAAATTTAAAATCTAGGATTTAGATCTCACCCCATAAAAGCCAGACCTATACATTGGCCATAAAGCAATGGGTCTGTAGTTGGGTGTATATGGGGGGAGAGAAGTGAGTATTAAACAGCTGTTAAAAGGCAATGCAAACATCTGCATGTCATCAGGTTTAAACTGCAAAGACTCCCTCTTATCATACATACAGGTCTATACTCGTCACGTCTCATCGTTTCTTATAAGTAATTGCCCTATTTTTAGCTCTCATCAAATAATTGCGTCAAACGGTAAAGCTGGAAGTAGCTTTTGTGGTTCAAGATCAAAAGTTGTTCCGCTGATCCACGCTCCTTCGATTTAACTCAGGCTACTTTAAAAGAAAAATGAATTTAAAACCATTTTAGACATGGAAAAGGCATCCACTAGGTATCACATCAAAAGCAATGAGGCAATAAATAAAGTACTTCGAATAAAGTCGAAATGAACCCATCGGAGAAGCAGATGGTCTGTGAAACCCAGAAGTGAAGAATCGAGTCGACTTTCTATCTTTTTAACAACGTTTTTTTCAAAATAACGTTCCCCAAATCGTATCAGTTCGAAAAACGATACACTAGAAATGGAACATGATCTAACCCCTCTGAAGATGCGGCAGCGAGGAGCAAAACGTGGAAGGTGATCGAGCAACTCAACAGCATTAGAAAGGTTGTCATAACTTTACGCTTCAATTTTTTCTCGTTAATCAAAAAAACAGAATTATTAACAAACCTGCATCTCGTGAAAATGATTGCTCGTCGGTACTTGAATTCTGAAAAGTGATCGCAGACAAAAAGACACCGACTACCACCATGTACGCCAGGGCATAGCAGACGAATCTCCAGATATGGCCCGAATCTTCCTCCCTATTTTCGTCTTCCACCTCAACATCGGGAAATGGAGCTTCGATTTGGTCCTTGCTCAAGAGCTTAACCTTATCCTCTGAAGTACCCATCACAAAGAGCGCTCACAGGTAGGCTGTGTTTTAATGTTTCTACGCTTAGTCGCTCCTCTATTTTTCAGGAAGTTTCTCTGTTCCAGACTTTCCTGTTTCTTAACACTTCAGTTCATTGGTCAAAGTTTGAACCAATCAACAACGGGCTCTTTGTATCAACCGAGAGTCGTTATGGGTAATGGTAACTAAAAACATGGCGGATATCAACGCTAACAACTTTGGAATGCTAATTTTAAAGTTCTTTCACTATTTCTAGCCCTTTGGTAACCGAATTTTCACTTACATACTGGTTAAACTACTAACTGGTCTTCAGCTGTATTCTAACAATGCGACAAAAAGGCGGAGAATTCATGTGTGAATTGTTATTGTCCACTTGACTACAAACAACTTTCGGTATTGATGTCCTGGTCAAATTCAATTTTCATGCTTTAGAAACATATTTTTCGGCAATGGCAGAGGACTTGTCAAGCTTCATTGAATCGCAGAAGCGGAAGCTTGAACAGGAAAGGACCGAAATGTTACGGGCTCAAGAAAACGAGGTAAAAGCGATATTTTGACGTCAATTAATTTATTTAAGTTTTCTGAGCAATTTTTAAACTTTTAAGTTTACAATAACTGTTTTCCGATAAGCATATGCAGCTGTACGTTAATGGTTTGAAGGCACTGTGCCTGATAGTCTTAATTTTTAATGATGATTTTACCAATAACGTAATGCTCACAAATTATTGACTTTGGGGAAATGGAAATTTTGTTTAAGTACGTGATACTTTGTTTAGCAGCCTCATCGAGTGCTGCATTTAACCAGCTGTTTGTGTGGTAAACAAATAATGTATTTTCGCAGACTGCAAGTTACAAGAAGTTGTTTTGCCCTAGGTGCCTGTAGTGATGTAGTAGTTATAATCAAGTACCATTTTAGAATTACACTTAAAAATTGGAAATACAATTGCTATTTTGTTCTCTCTGAACCTAAAGATCAGGGCCCAGTTGTTTGAAGGCCGATTGGTGCTAATCCAAAGTTAAATTTTAATCTGGGTTTATTTATTCCTTTATTCAAAAGCCTTTTTGGGATAATTTCTGGTCTTCTTTTTAGAGCATCAAATAATTATAATCTAGGCAAAAAGAATTTGACTGAATTTTCTTTTAAGCTATCAGATCTGAAATCAGATTTCACACTAACCCTGGGTTATCTTAACCCAGCTTTGAACAACCCAACCCACATTGTTATCTTGCAGTATTTTACACATTTGACACTGGGGTTGAAAGATAAGAGAGTCAATGACTCAAAGCACTCTGAACATGTACTTGTTCATGACATACTGATTAAACATATTTCTCATTTCTTTTCTTTCTTTATTACTCTTAACTTAAACCAGATTGTATTTTTTTTATATGGCCACCTTCAGCTGAGCAACAATAATTTATAGATGTAGAGTTGTTATTTAGATGATAGCTTTCAACAGAATCATTTTTATATTTTGTTATAGGACCGTAGCAGAACAAGTCCAAGAGGATACAAACCTGATGACAGGTATTGTTAGCTGCAATCTGAACTTGGTCATATGACACTAATGTGATGCAATTACCTTCTACTTCATGCCTATAGTTAGGTCTAATAGGTTTTTTCTTCTAGTACTTTGCAGTCAATATTTTTTTGGCTGCAAAGTTCCTTTTTGACCTCACTTCCTTTTGTATATTGATTAAGGATAATTGATCATGACTTTCTCTCATAAGGATGCCATGAACCTAAAAAATGAGATGAAACCCTTGTTTCTTTTTGTTGGAGTTTTTAGCTCAAAACAAAAATTATTCTGGAATCCAGGGCTAACATTTATGTCCTCTGGAATAGTAGGGCTCCCAGTGTTATGCTCACTTCAAATTGTTATCTTGATTTTATTGGAAGAGTCACCTTAATGGTTGTTATCAGTGAGAGTAGTTATCAAACATGCAGAAATCTAAGAAGATTAGAACAAGAATAGCAGGAAGACACTGTGGTGTATTTTTTTGTTTATTTACTTAATTCTAAATTTTTTGATTAAAACAATTGTCAGTTGTGTCATCTCATCTTTATTTAGGTATGGCCAAGTGGCTCCTACTCCAGCATCTGAGTCAAGGACAAAGGCTAAAGGTAAAATGTATTTCAACAATGTGCCATTTATAAGCATTTTAGCCATTTGCATGTCTGTAAGACTTGTATGTGTATTATCTTATCTGATATTTAACCCTTTAACTCCCAGAAGTGATTCACATGTAACTTTTACCTATGATATTCATCCACTATCCAGCAAACTGGTAATGAGAGTACTCAAATATATCAGGTAGAAGTTGTTATCTTGATCTAACACCAGATGCTCGTGACTAATTCACAAGAAAAGGAGTAGCAGCTAGAGGGGAGAATTAACAATCAGATCTTGGGGGTTAAAGTATTTAGTCTGATTATGAGAAGTACACCTGTAGATGATGGAGCTTATCCCAGGTCTCCTGGGCTGAAGTAGCTTGGTCTGATTGACCAGATTAACATTGACTAGAATGGTAGTTTTTGTCTGTTAGAATTGTTATCATAAAGTGTCATTAATAATTTTATTACTATTGCTTTTTTCAGTAACAACCCCTGAGAAAGACAATGGTGTAGGGGGCCTGAAGCTAGGAGGTTATGAAAAACACCAACAGAGGTTGCGTCAAGAGAGGAAAGAGGATTATAGAAAATATTTGGCAGAGGTAAGCATCAATTTGTCTGATAGAGAGCTTTTGAATTAAGTGACTACAACAGCCAGTTTAATGAGGGGAAATGTTACTAGGAACCAATGAGAAATCAAACAGAAAACAAAGTTTTGTTTAAGTTTTGTCTGATGGTTAAGAATGTGTAACAAGTTTTCTTAACTAGCACGGACGAAAGTAAAGTAAAACCAACACAATTCTAGACTACTCTGGGACTCAACTGACAGTTCCTGGCAGTGTATGAAATTATAAATTGAGAACTCTCCTTTCCAACTTCTTCTCATAAACTACCATGTAATTACTATCAATTGGGTGAACTTGGTGTTGCCACAAGATGCGCCTTTCAGCTGATAGGTTTGTCTATTGTATTTTCTTCGGGCATTTTCTGGATATTGTATTGAAATTGAGAGGAGAAATTACATGCTAGTTATTTTGTGGAGTGACAGGGTTTAGATAGACATTTTAAATCACCTCAGAACAATATGATTATTTTTCAACCTAATGTAATTAGTGATATTTAAATCAGAGTAATTTACTGGTCATGGTTGAACAATTTGTAGAAAAGCAAAATCTTATATCATGTGCACAAATTATTCAATGTAATAAAGAAGCCAAGTAACTTAATTTAAAGATGTGGAAATTTTTTCACTGACTAAGTTTATTGTGTTTTGGTCATAGAAAAACATCCGCAGCACAGGGAAAGCTAGCCCTGCTTTATTGGACACCAACACATCCCCTTATCCAGGATACAAGTCACAGGGGGTTAGTGTTCTTGTAGTTTCCCTACTTCTTCTAATTTCTGGCTGAAACAACTGATCTTGAATGAATTTTGTCAACTGTTGTCAGTTATGTCTTTTACACAATTTATTAGTCAGTTCTCCTTTTGTCTGATTGGTCATCGTTATAAATTTGGTTTTGTTTTTATGACACTTGATTGAGAATCACCCTAAAAGCAATATGATCTTCAAAATTTTATTTATAAATGTGTTTTGGATATTGAAAGCATGTTAAATAATACCAATTTCGTGAGATTTCTGGTTATGAGAATGGACAAGAATTTCCTCCCTTGCCATGAATAATGTTATTTTTAATTTGTTGATATACTGGTATTCTAAAACGTAATATGATGACAGTTTCAGTGACTATCATGTGATATCAGAAATTATTAGATTTAGAAGGTTTTTTGCTGAATTCATTGATTAACATATTTATCACACGTTTTGTGAATTAGATTCTCTAAATTTGGGAATTAATAATATTATTGAGCTGATCACATTTAGTATAATGTCTAACCTAAATAATTAATAATCTTGATTATATTCCTCCCACATAACATATTTGCATAATATCAGTTTTCCTTAGCAGGTGGTGTATATAATGAGTAAGAACCGACAAAAGTTTTCAACTCAACTGATTATTGTTACGAGTTTAAAAATTCTCAGCTTCAATTCATAAATTTTGGTGATGAAATAAGAAATGTTTTTTCCAGTTTAAAAGTCAAGAACTCAACCATCAAATGATGGCTTTTAAAGTCAGTTTGTTATTTATATTGATGGACATTGGACAATCATGGTAACTTTAGTCTTAGACTGAATTGTTAAAATGAAAAGGGGGAGAAAAATTGAAGCATTCATTTCATGGACTGGGCTCAGTTGGAGTTGTTAAAGGAAACTTGCCGAACTGTTGAAAGGTTTGGGCTTCTTGGTGGAAAACTAAACTTTCATGACAGCTGGCTTCACCTTTTGGTAAAGATTGTGAGCTTTTAAATTTAGTTGTTGTAAACTGGTGATAATTATTTCGCTTTGATAAAACAGAGGTTTAGATATTTGTGGGCTCATTGTGTTGCCTAAGTGATTATGTCTTATTTACCTTGACATCGGGCTTTTAATTATGAAAGCTTTCACATACTTATGTATGTCATTTAGCACCACTTATTCCCTATTATGATTGAAAGAATTCAAAAGTTTTGTTGCATGATATCTTTATCAATATCGAGATGATAAATACTGCTTCAATTTGACAAGATGTCAGGAATTTATTGATTAGAGCATTGAATTTACTGCAATTATTACAAATAATAATTTTACCAAAATTTTTATTTGGAAAAGTCTTCTTACACAATTATACCCCCCATATTCACAAAATGGAAACAATTTAAAGTGCTGAAATAAAATTTTGTTCAAAGATTTGGTAGCAATTGTGTCAGAAGAGTTTAGATGGCAAGCTTCTTGCTTGTTAATTATTACTTACTTTGTATCATAAACAGCAAAATGAATTTTTTGAAAAATGATTGTAATTTTGTGATTCTCACAATTTTAACAAATTAAATTTATCTCAAGTTATCATTTGCCTCATTTCCTTAGTC